GTGGATTTGGTCTAATGGAGCGTAGTTAAGCATACTCTGCTATTTCTGGGTTGTGTTTGTTGGCACCCAGGTGGAAATGCAAGCTGAGAAGGAAACATAACTGGTTGGTAGGTGGGCCTGGGCTGCTGGCCAGCCTGAAATTGCAGCCTGATGCCGAGGGATGCAAGGGACAGACTCCAGCTCGGGCCTGGCAGTGCCAGCCAGGTGCAGATGATTGCAATTGAATAATAGCAAAGTCCCCTAGTTACAGAGTCTGCAGCAGTTGCTCTGTGTGCCAGGCTGAGCCCACTTCTGGGGTGCTGAATGCCCCTCCCCAAGTTTCAGACCAAGCTGTGCTTCACATTCCCTGGTACCCACACGTCCCTGTGGGGCCAGCATGGACCTGCCACGTTCAGCACGAGGGGATCCCGTGGTGGCAATGACTGGGCAGATGTGCCTGGGCCATGCTGGGTTTGCATCCAGTCCTGGCTTTGCTCCCTCCCTCCCTCCCTCCCGACTCCTCCTGTCCCCTCGGAAGGGAGAGCTGTGGCTTTGCCACCTCCTCCGCAGGTTGGATTGGTTTCCATAGCTTGTGGTCTCTGGCTCAGTGTGCCAAGGGGAGAGGCCCTGGAGGCTGCGCGTGCTGCAGTCCTGCCGGCCAGCTGTGCTTAACCAGGAGCTATAAATTCACTCTTTAGATCTAAAAATGTCTCTGTTACTCCCTACAGGCACAATTTTCTAAGATAGCTGCTCCCAAAAATCAAAAGGTTAGTTTGTCCACATTGCTCCCTTGAAAACTTCTGTGGATGCTCAGCTGTCCAGGAGGTGATTTTGCTTTCACACCCTGATACAGCACTGTTCACTGCTCTGAATCTTCTGTGTTTGCATAAATCCATAAGCCTATGGTGTTTCCAGTGTCTGCTGTGTGGAGGAAAGGGGAGCTATCCCCACCACAGTATCCTGGTCTTCTGGGTGCTTGTAGCTCTGCAAAACTGGTTACACCATCACCACAAGGTGGCCAGTGCTTGGTGCTCCTGGCATCTCAGGGGTGCTTCTTAGTTTTACCCTGCAAGCATTAGCATTTTGCCGTTGATTGCATGTGCATCTGTGTAGTTTGCCAATGGTTTGGATTTGTTGACAGGCAACCATGGCAGAGGTGCAGCCTCCTGGCCTCTTTCCAGTTGTTCTGTGCAGCCACTGAGCACCAGGTCTATGACCAGCCCCACTCCAGGATCAGCTTTGCTCTCACCTGTGCATTGCTGGAGCAGAGCATGGAGCTGCTGGGTCTAGCCAGGACCTGGGGTCCCAGTGCAGGCTCTGCAAGGGTTCTTTGACCTTTGTGTATCTGCAGTGGAGACACCAGTCTCTTACATATCCCTTTCCCAGATCCTCAGTGAGGGTTGCCAGCCCAGGTTCCGGGTGAACCCATAGCTGTCCTTGCATCCCCTGCCTGCAGTTCCCTGGGCTGTGGCAGCCATGTGGCATCAGCACAGTGTCTCTGAGCCCTCAGTTTGCTGCAGCCCTTCGCCAAGCCCGTCCCACGCACAGAGTCCAACTGGCTGAAGGAGCAGGAGGGTCCCCGGGGGGTTCCCAGAGGCTTCCCTCCCCATGGGGTGCCTTTCATCTGCTGCTTCACAGATGTTGGGTTTGGCTCGTGCCTGACATGCATCAATTATAGTGCAACAGCCTGGAGTCTTTGGCAAAATCAACTTTGGAGCAGCTGTCCTGAGTCAGCCCGTGCCTGAGCTGGAGCTCTGGCTCTGTCTGCGCTCGGATCAGTGTCTCCCTGACCGTCTTGGTGCCCACGTGGAGAGGGTTTTCCTGGCAGAGAAGGTCTAAATATGGCACAAGCACATCTTCCCATGTGCTTTGTGTTTATCCAGGAACACTTGAGCAGGAGAGAGCTGCAGGCTCTGGTCTCTCTGCCCCATCAGCAGAGCAATGTCCCCCTGTGGGAGGGACAGCAGCCAGGTTACAGTGACACTGGTGGAGCAATGGCATGTGAGGTCTAACCCTGCTTTGCCAGGGACTCAGTGGCCATCAGGAATTTCAGACAGTAATTGGATGTTTATTAACCCATCCCTCTTTGCAGTGCTCCATTAGGGTCAGCTCAGTGATAGTGGCTCTGACAGCACCACAGGTTTGACACCACAGAGAGCACAGTGGGTCAAACAAGTCCTGGATCTGCCCATGATGTGTCCCAGACATGCACAGCTCTGCTCCAATTTATTTCTAGGGTCTTTCCATTTGAGATGAGTGACCCCAGGGAGCGCTCCCTGCCACCCGGCACAGCATCCCTATGTGCCTGTGCTGCAGAGTGGTCCTGCATGCTGCCTCTGCTGGCACAACCCCCTTGGACCCGAGTGGGATACTGCAGTCCTTGCTAAGAAAACACCAGCTCAGTGCTGGGAAGCTGAAGAAAAAATTGCAGGTTTGGGTTGTGGTATTTCCCTTGGGAGCCTGTCTGCTGGTGCTGCTGGAACACTGGTGTCTTTGCATCCATGCTGTCCTGCAAATGTTCCTAGTTGCAATATATTGACTTTTATTGTATTTTTCCCCAGTCAGGAGCCAGGTGCCAGGTGCTTCAGATCACCTTTTCCCAGCAGATAAACGGAAGCAGCGTGGGCTGCACTGCTGGTGGTGCTGCTCGAGCACATCCAGGGCGGCCACGCCTGCACGTTCCATGTGACAAGGTGCTGCCTGCCACTGCCCCGTGCTTCCTGTGGCTTTGGTCTGGTTCTGAAGCCCCGAGCCCTCCCTCTCCCACTGAAGGCAACATGGTGAGGCAGCTCCCCATGCTGGGGACAGGTTTGCTAGGTCAGCCCCTCTGCATGCTGCTGGCTCCTTAGTGGAGCTTTAGCAGCCAGGAGGTGCTGGAGATGCTCCTGGCCTTTGTCACAAGTGGATGGTGGCTTTCTTATCTGTTTAATTTCTTTATTTCTCTGTGCATGCTGCTGCACCTTACCTGCACCAGTGTCCCAGCTTGCTGTCCCATCCCACGGGGCCAGGGCACTTTGTGCACACAAGTGGTGCCTGGAGGAATTACACCCGTTGCATAACCCAGCGTTGTTGCTTGTGGCAGCATATTTTCCACATGATTTAGTTGTAATTTTGTTTTTCTAGTGTTATGTAGGGATTTTTTTTTTCCTACTTTTGGCCTCGCCGTTTTGGAACGGAGCTAATTTGGGATTTGTGGTGAGATCCCTTGGCACACTGGGCTGGTTGGCATTGCAAGGGGCAGCGTGGCAGCACGTTTCCAGCTGTGCAGTGTCCCTGGGAGGAGCGAGATGCTCCCGTGTGTGTCAGCAGCAGCGTGTTTGCTCTCTAGCAGCTCTGTGAGTAACACTCAGCTGCACAGCCCGGGACTGAGGGTTGGAAAAAAGTGTTCAAAGTGCCCCAACAGTCTTTGGGATTAGTTCTAGATTTGCTTTTTCTTATTTTTACATATTTTTTTTTCTGCTTGGCCTATATTGAGCGTGTGGAAACAGGCTGTGCTCCCAGGAAGAGAGTGGTTCTGCCTCACAGACCCCAGCAGGCTCTGCTCTGACATGGCTCCAGCCTGTCACCAGGGATACTGGACATGTGTTTGGAGGAGCCCCTTTGGCCCAGCCTCACTCCCATAGAGAGAGGGAGGGAGAGAAGACGAGGCAGCACATTGTGGGAGACCAGAAATAACCTTGGTGAGATGAGCTGAGAACTGTATTGCTGTCTGGAGGGGAGAGGACTTTGCAATAAGTCCTTTGCAAATAGTCATGTTTTTATTAATAATAATAAATGATAAAAAGAAAATAAATAAGCATTGCAAAGAGCTGAACAACAATAAAATGCTCACTTAGGATGGTGGTTGTAGGCACCCAGGCACTGAGCAGCAGCAGCCTGGGGTGCTAAGGGCTCTTAGAAGTGTGTTTTCCTGTAACCTCCCTCTCCATGCCTGGATCAGAGGATCATGCTGTGTGTGGCTGATGTCTCCAGGAGCTTGCAGGGACCAGGCTGACCTTCTGCATATGCTGCCTTCGGGATATTTGCTGTGTCCACTGTGGGTGACATGGAGCAGCTGGGGCTGGGTGGGAGCTGACTGCATCATCCTGGAGCACATGGGGCAGTTTGTCCTTCCTGGAGGCTGATGCTCCTGCCTGGGGAAGTGGATGGTTCCCTGGTTTTTGTTACAAAGCTGTTGACTGAGGCAGTAGTTGTACATTTGCATCTTCTGAAGGGCTTTGGTGATCTGGAGCATCTTGCAGGGGAGACAAGCACCCTGTCTCTGTGCTACACCAAAGGGTTTGGATTTCTGGGGTGAATATCGACAGAATTAGAGCGAGATCACAAAAGCTCCAGGGCTGTGTGGGTGTTGTCTGGCACGACCCACTTTGATGCAAATGTGTTGGGTTTTCTGCAAGCCTGGGCGGCAGCCTCTGATCTGTGTCAGCTGGAGCTCGAGGAGAGCACGTGTCAGTAGGTGCCAAGGATTTCTCTGTGTCTGCAAAGCCATCCAGTTCCCCAAAACGTGGCCATGGGGCATTCGCACCAGCAGTCTGCACAGTGCTGTAATTCCAGTGGTATGGAGGAGCTGGCAGGCTGGGTAGGTCTGCCAGCCTTTAGTGGCAGTGCCTGGGCACAGGGCTGTGGTGCTGAAAGCCTTTTTCGCTCAGTAAACAAACTCCCAGCTGTGGGCTGAGACTTTCTGGGTGCTGGGTCCTGCTCCATGGCAATAGATGGGCTGCTGTGGGACCTGGTGTGCTTACACCCCCTGACATTCCTTTGCTTTGGTGAAGTGAGCAGGAATCAAGGTGAATCCAGTGAGTTAAGAAGGGAAGTCCCAAACTGAGTGTAATTACAGGTGAAGGAAGTTCCCACATGCCTCCTCCCTCTCAGCCTTTTGGTGCCCTGAGTCTCCGCTCTCCGCACGTGCTTTATTCCCGCTTCAGATCCAGCAGGCAGCTCCTTTGATTCCCTACCAGGAGCAGCACACAGCGTGTTTGGCACTGCCTGCACATCTGACCACCCTCTCTTTGCTTCCACAGGTCCAGAGGCAGTTCCCAGCCACGCACCCAGCATGACGGACGCTCCACGGGATGCCGGCCCCAAGCCGGCGGCGCCAACGCGGCCGGAGAAACCGGCTGCGGACTTTGGCTACGTGGGGATAGACGCCATCCTGGAGCAGCTGAGGCGGAAAGCCATGAAGCAGGGGTTCGAGTTCAACATCATGGTCGTGGGTGAGTTCTCCCCCTGCACCAGCTGCTCGAAACGTGCTCAGCCAGTTGTTTTTATTGTTCCACGATGATGTTTGTCCTCTCTGGAGTCTCCTCGGGAGCAGCGACTCGGGCTCAGCGTTGGGGTCTCTGCCTCTGGAGTCAGCAAACTCTGCTCCCAAGGAGCTGGCTTGAGTTCAGCTGTCGTTAAAGCCGTCAGTGTGATGTGCTCCATAGTCCTGTGCATCTTCCTGCATCTCGGGGTGGGCTACCCATGGGCACATCCAGGAGGGGAACACCCTGAAGGGTGTCAGGACTCACAGGAGCTCCCTTGCCAGCTCTCCTGGGAGCCCAGCACTGGTTTGAGCAGTCAGAGGGTGTTTTAAGGGCTCAAGGGGCTGCACTGCTGCTGGTATACCAGAGCCCTCATCTTTGCTGGTATTTCCAGCAATTTGGGTAAAAATCCTGCTCATGAGTTTTCTTGTATTCAGGCAACCAGGCTACAAATACGAGGGAAAAAATACCAAAACCAGTGATTCACTGGTGGGAATAAAGACCAGCAGGAGGGGTTTGCATAGCTGGGTTGTTCGGCTTGAGAGGCTTCTGCTGCTGGTGGCTCCTTTGGGGACCTGCAGGGTGGCACAGGGGGGATGAAAGTGTCCCACAGGGTGCCCACATGCAGGGAGGACATGCTGGGGACTTGTCTGTCCAAATCCTGCTGCCTACGAACTCCTATTCTTTAGCTTTCCCAGGCTGCAGGGTGGATGGGATGAAGGAACTTTATTTCAGCCAGAGGCCACACTGCTCTGGCTGCAGCTTCAGCTCTGGGATCTGCACTCCAGCAGCCCCTGGGCTCCTGGAGCCAGGGATGGTACCAGCCACCTGCCAGCAAAATGCTGGGTGTGCTGGAGAGCTGGGCAGGCACTGTGGGATACCAGGCAAGGAGGAAAAGGGAAAAGAAATGAGCCTTTTCTGCTTTTTTTCCAGCTATTTGTATCTGGCTTGGTCCTGTGGATCAGCTTTTGTGAGCTGGGCTGTGCTCCCTGGGGCTGGGCTGGGCAGATGCCATTTCTCCCTGTCTGAATCTCTCATGTGAGCTGCAGGGGGATGAGGAGAGTAAAGCCCAGGCCATGACCAGTGGCATGGTGATGGGGCCTCACCATCCCTCATCCTCCTGGGAGGAGCTTTGTAAGGCTCCTGTTCACGCAGGATGTGTCCCATGGGGGTCTCCCTGGGATTATGGAAGAGCCCAGTCCAGAATTTGCTAGTTCTGTTAAAGATATCAGTGCACTGTAGCTTCCCAGCAAGCTCTGCTGATGCTCTGCCTTTCCCATTTTTATATTTTCATTCCCTCTATAGGGAGGGCTCACCAGGCTGTGTGATCACAGCAGGCCTGGTCACTGCAGAACCAGTTCTTGAGAGGTGTTTTAACAAATCCAGCCCTTCACTGCTAGTGGAGCAGCATTCCCAAGGCAGAGGGATCACTGCACTGGTCCTGAGAGCCTGCAAGTAAGATTGCTTGAGCTGAGCCCACGTTTCCTTACCAGAGGAGGCTCCCATCTTTCCAGGAGCAGGCTGAGCTTTCTGCTGTGCAGATGTGGAGGGATGTTCAGGAACGGGCCTGGCTGTGCTTTGGCAGCTCTGTGTGTGGTATGAACGCCCGTGCTGCAGTGCTGGAAAACATTGTTCTCCCCTTGGCAGGCGCTGGGCTGACTGTTTACAGGCTGGGGAATTCGTGGCAGCATAAACAAGTCGAGCTCTGGCCCTCCCAGAAGATGCAGGAGGGATGCAGGAGGAGCAGCACCTCGCAGGGTGTCCCTTGGGAAGGGGGTGCTGGGCTGAGGCTGGGAGGCAGCAGCCAACCCTCACCCTGCTGTGCTTCTCTAGGGATGGTCAGGCTGCTAGGGATGAGTTAAGCTCCGTTATTCCCATCCAGTCTGAGCTGTGAGTCCTTGCCTTGAAATTGTTACAATCCCTGTTTTACAGGCTGGAGAGGAGGGGAGGGAGGTGGGAGGTGACTTCTCCTGTGCAGGAGGTAGGAATTGAGCATCACTGCCATGGAGGTGTCACTCCTCACCATGTCCTTGTGATGGGGCTTTGTGAAAATCCTCTGCCCAGCGTACCAAGGTCCCTGTTCAAAAGGGTTTCACCAGCCCAACCAGAGCTCTGACAGGGGGCTGTGGGCTGAGGTTGGCTTAGCCCTGTGTCTAAGGCTGCAGAGATGAGAAAGATGTCTAAGCTTAAAAACAAACAACCCCAAAGCACATCTTCTGTGTTCAGTTTTTGGTGCAAAGCAGCTGAAAGGAGAGGAGAGGTGGCCAGGCTCAGCTGAGTTTTCCCTGCTGGATTTCAGCTCTGGGAAAGGCAGTGAGCTGCAAATCAGGGGTGTTGGAAGGGAGTCTGCCCTGCGCTCAGCCATTCCCAGCGCTCAGCCACCTGCACCACGGCCGTCGGGTCCCTGGGTGCAGCCCCATCATCTCTCAGCAAGGTCAGCCTGTGGCCACGGTTCAGATGGGGACTTTGAATCCACGGCAGCCGGTGGCTCTCACCTCTGATCCCTTTCCAGGCAGTGCAGCTCCAGCAGTTTGGGCAGGCATAGATGCAGAGACCCACTGCCCGGAGCTCTGGCAGGGTGTCACCCTGCTTTCACCTCTCCCCGGGTGCTCCATGTGATGATGAGCAGGGGCGCAGCAGGGGCTTTGGTTTGGCTCTCTGCATGCCCAGCTCCAGACCTGTTTGTGCTTGGCCCTGTGTTTTAGACAGCAGAGGACTAGGAGCACCTGTCCCCAGCCTGGTCCATGTGTTTCTCTTACAACCCAACCATGGCAGAGTTTTCCTGCTTTGGATTGCAGCCATGCCATTGGTAACATTGTAAACTCAGCTTTAAATTGGTGTTTGATCAGAGAGTGGAGTGATGCCAGGAGGTGATGCCTAGTGCTCATGCATTGGTTGGCCCTACAGTTGTCTTTGGCAGCCTGGATGGGTCAGGGTCCTGAAGGACATGGGTGAAACCCTTGCTGACTCTCCTTAGGGACACCGTGTGGTACAAGGGACATGCCTTGGCAATGCCACAATAGCTGGCTGCAGCATATCTTGGCAGAACAGGGCTGGAGGGATCCCCACGGTGTGTGCAGGAACTCTGCAGTGTTTATAGGGGGCACAGAATATCTGCTCTGAAGCAGGAGCCAGCTGCTTCCTGGATTTAGAGGAGTTGGTCTGTTTTCTTTGCTGTGGAAAAATTGTTCTCCAAGCTCATGGGACAGTTGATCTGGAGAGTTTAGAGCTGCCAGTGTCCATTCTCTGCAGACTGGCCTCAGCTCTGGGAGATAAAGCATGAAAATGCTTGTCTCTAAAAGCTGTTTTTTCGGAAGTTGTAGAATCTCATGTGCTTCCTGAGATGATGTTTGTGGGATTCAGAGAAGCTCCTGGCCTAGACCTGCTGGAAGGGATCTGTGCAGCCAGCTGGTCCGATTGCAACAGCAAATCCGCCAGGGAAGGAGCAGCAGATGGGTCAGGGCTGAGGTTTGTAAGATTGTTGCTGTTGTTAGTCCTGTCCAGCTGAGGGCTTGCCAAGCTGCTCCGAAGGCTTCCCTGTGGAGCTGGACAGAGGACAGTGCAAGAGAGTAAAGGCACAGATGTGTCAGAATGCTCCTTCCTGGGATTCCCTGGTTCCCATGCCCTTCTTCAGGGCTGCCAAGTGTCACTGCAGCCCTCCAAACATCCCCAGTAGTGTCTGCCTGTCCTTGGGTTTGCTGTGATGTTGCCTGGATGCAGGCAACCAGCTCTTGACCTGCTCACTCCCAGCGAGCCAGGGAAGGAGTTTGCTGCCTGCAGAATTTTCCTGCCCGGCTGGACACGAGTTCCCTGAGCCGGGGGAGCTGCAGGGGAGCAGCTGCACCTCTTCCCTCCCTCTGGCAGATCCGGTGCAGGCTGAGTCTGTCAGCATCCCCATTCCCTGGCCCCTCACAGAACAGCCCGGAAACAAGTGAGTGCTGACCATGGGTTATCCTGCTCTTTTCCAGGTCAGAGCGGCTTGGGGAAATCCACATTAATCAACACCCTCTTCAAATCCAAAATCAGCCGGAAGTCTGTACAGCCCACTTCTGAGGAGCGGATCCCCAAGACCATTGAAATCAAATCCATCACTCACGGTGAGGCTCTGCAGGTCCCACCTGGTGCTTTGGCTCTTGGTCCTGTTCTGCCTTGTACCTCTGGGGGCAGGGGTTATTGTCCTACACTAAACCTCCTCCCTCATCTCTCTGAAGGGGCTTTTACCATCTTGTGATGTTTGCAGGGATGAGAAAACATCTTTTTTTTTCTTTATTCATCATCATTGGCTTAATATTGTTGGAAAGGGAACAAATGAGGTGGCCATGGGGATGGCATTTCAGGGCAGATGTGGGGCTCCTTTGGAGTGCTGATTTGTGGCTGTGAGAAGCTGTGGAGGTGCTTTTCTCCTCTGGGAGCAAGCTCCAGCCCTGCAGCTGATTTTGGGAGGGTGGGCTTGCCTCACGTGCCAGCTTTCCTCTCCCTTTCAGAGATTGAAGAGAAGGGGGTTCGCATGAAGCTGACGGTCATCGACACCCCGGGATTTGGAGACCACATCAACAATGAGAACTGGTGAGCTGCCATGGGGACCAGTGCAGAGGGAAGGTGGGTGAGCCCCGGCCCATCCTGACCTGGTGCTGAGGGCTGTAGCCTGGTCCTGTGCCACCCATGCTCCGTGGGGAGCAGGGAGGAGGGTTGTTGTGGTGGCAGCGCTGTGCCATGTGCCCCGGGGCTGACCCTGGGCCCCGTGAGAGCCCACAAACATCCTGCTGTTCCGGGCATGAGACAACCTTTGTTTGTGGCCAGGAGCAGCTGTGTGTCAGCAGGGCCAGTCCCCGGACCTCGCTCATGTGGCTCTGAAGGCTGAACTGTCCCCGGAATCCCTGGGACAGTGACTGGCTCTGTGGGATGGCCCCCGGGGCTGGACAGGGCTGGGCAGTGGCAGATGCCTTCTCCTCACCACGAGCTGAGCTGGGCTTGTGGGGTTTGATTCTGCTCTTGCTCCTGTGCTATGACACCGTGCAAGGGGCCAAGGTGTGCTCCCAGCCATGTCCTGCCCCTCAGCCAGGTCCAGGAGGAGAGAAGGGAGCACTTTTTAGGCACTTGCTTGTCTCAACCAGCCAGTAAATCCCCTTCATCAGTGCATGTAGTTGCTAAGCAGTGAACACGTGAGATTTATGGGATTCTCGAAGATGCTGAGTGTCCCTGCCTTGGAGGGTTCTGCTTCACACAGGCCATGTGGGAGGGTCAGGGTGGTCCAGATCCCTCACACAACCCCATCATCCCGTGTTCCTCTCTCTCTGCAGCTGGCAGCCCATCATGAAGTTCATCAACGACCAGTACGAGAAGTACCTGCAGGAGGAAACCAACATTAACCGGAAGAAGCGGATCCCTGACACGCGGGTTCACTGCTGTATATATTTCATCCCAGCCACGGGCCACTCGTACGTACCCCACTGTCCCTGTCACCCCCTCGGGCTTCCCTCTCCTGCCTTCAGTCTGGGGCAACTCACAGTTCTGCCTGGGATCCTCCTGTGTTTCCTGGAGACTTGAGGAGCTCAAGGACAGTGTGGAGCTGTCCTTAGGGCTGTTGCATCTGAAGCCCTTGCAATAACACAGCAGAGCTGCTGTACCCCAGAGAAATGTGGTATTTCCTCTTCCATAGGGCCGTCAAAGCCTCTCTGAGCTCCAGGGAGCTGCTTGCCTTGCTGTGCTCACCTGGCTTGCTCTGCCAAGGGTGGACACCAGCTCTCAAATTGGTTGGAGGTGCTGCCTTTGCAAGTAGAACGTTAATTTTTTCTTGCTGTGCCCCTGACATTGTAAGGGGAGAAGCCAGTTTTCCTTGTGCTTCCAAGGGAGCAAACACCCTCGCCCTGTAAGGGTATTTTGTAGGTTGTTTGACTGGTCTGCAAGTGGGATGCTGTTTATTCAGCCCAGAGCTCTCCTGGCTCTGGCACTTCTCAAGTGACAGCATCAAAGGCCCAGATCTCGCTCTACTTTTTTTTTTCCCTTTTTTTTTTTTTTTTTCTCCTAGGCACACAGCCCACCATGAAAATCTGGGGCGCTTAAAGTGTCTTGAAAAATGTGGCTTGAAGTATCACAACGTAAAACGAGACCTAAGTTTCCTTTTGATTTGTGTCAATTCCTTCTACTTCTGGCTCTGTCTGCATGGGGATGTTTTTGGGTCTGTTTTCAAAAGTAAATTTAAGCCTCAAGCACTGTATTCATGTCAGCCTTTTCCACTTCCCCATGTGGAGATTTATTCTAATAGAAAATACTTTGTTTTGCTTCTGTCAGTGGGTAGACCAAAAATGCATCTTTCACTGGAATAAAATGACTGCATGGGCCAGTTATGCTCCTCTTGAGTAACTGATTGGGAGCAGAGGGGCTGACAAAACGTTTATGGTTTAATACAATAAAGCCGAAAAGGTTTCAAAGGGAGATGACATTTTTAGGTCAGTCCACCGTGTTGGTCCCGCTTATCTCAGCCCAGATCTGCAGACCCTGCCTCGGCAGGCCTGGCCTCTGCAGTGTGAGCTACACTCCAGCTTTCCCTCATTGCTTGGGGCTGTTCCACTCTTAAAAAACACACCCGATGCTTAGACCCTGCGGATGTTTGACCTGCATGGAGGTTGGAAATTTTGGGTGCCCGGGCAGCGCAGGATGTGGAGCCCCATCCCCGTGTCCCCTGCCGGAGCCTCTCCAGCCGCGCGCTCTGGTTTCTCTCACCCGCCGGCTCACAGCAATTGTGTGGATATTCAGCTGCTTTTTTTCTTTCTCTCCAGCAAACATGTGTTTCCAATATCCGAGCGGGCCCGGCAGCTGGGGGCCGTTGTTGCTGAGCCCTGTGCTGATCCTGTTTCCCCGCAGCCTGATAGCCCGGCTGGGGCCGGCACTCGCTCTGTCCTGCCCCATTGTCCTGACCCACTCAGGATCCGCTCTGTCCTGCCCCCTCCTGCCACGGGATGGAGGGAACCTGAGGAAATGAGTGAAGGGGACAAACCCCACCGGGAGGGAGAAGTCAGTGGCAAATTTTGCTTCTCAAGAGAGCTCGAGCAGATGTTGGGTTTCCTTTCTGCTCTCTTGTGAAGCCCCAGTTATGTTTCTCGTCACCATGGACGGGCTTTCCCCAGTGGTGCCCACAAAGAGATGACCTGGCCATCTCTACTGTGGGGTGGAGCTGCTGTGGCAGCGCCAGTAGCAGCAGATCCTGCTTGGGAACTCAAGTCCTGGGGTTGTCATACAAGGCTGAGTGCAGGTTTGTGCCCCAGCTGAGGCAGGCGATCCGTGGTTCCTTGCAGGAGGGCATGGGAAGGCCATCAAGGTCCTTGCAGTGGTGCCTCCAGCTTCTCTGGGAGATGATGGGGAGGATGGCTGGCAAGGGCAGTGGCTGGTAGAGCTGCAGAGACCTGCACTGGGGACACCCAGCTCCAGAGAACCCCACCATGCCCACATGATGCCACCTGCGTGCTCCACTTGCCATCCTGGGAAGTTTGGTGCCACCCCTCCTGGGATAGTTCTTAGGGGAGCTGCTGCCTTCACAAGCCAAAGCAGCAGTGACTCGTGCCCATCTGCCCTTCCCTGCTGATGTAGATGGGCGTGGCACAGAATTCAGCATCCCTTCCTTGGCACGTGGGTGCTGCAGGCAGCTGGGTTAAGCCTGTCATTGGGTGAGAGCTTACTTTTTTCTTAAATAAAAAGGTGAGAGAGGGGATAAAAAGCAAAGTTAACCAGGTGTAGAAATTCAGAGGCCAGAGCAGAAGATTGCTCAGCTCTGTTTCAGTCTGGCCCTCCCATCTGAGCAGCTCAAGGGTTAATCAGTGGAGAAGTTTCTGCTGTGCAAGGAAGTTTGCAAGGGAGTTCAGGCCAGGCTTTGCAGCCCATCTAGTTTGCACACAGCCTGTCCTTCTTGTAACACTCCCATATAACCATTCCTATGGAGGCTGAGTACGGTGCTGGCAGGGGCTTTCAGCTGCAGCTGCACAACCCTGGCTCTGCCACCCAATAAATATCTCTGCTCCGACCCCTGCGAAGCTCTGTTCAGCTCAGAGATGGGGCTCTGGAACACTGCCTGGCCTCAGCAGCCCCTCTGCTGCCTGTACCAGGGCTGCTGGCTGAGGGACTGCCCCCAGTGCTGCTTTCCCTGCTGGCTGCCCCTCTCAGGTGCCCACCAGCTCCCTCCAGCAGGTGATGGGGTTGGGCGGCCGCTGGGTTCTCACCAGTGTTTGCTTAACACACGGCTCAAATTCTTGCTGTGAGTTTGATCTGGGGCACAACCAAAAGGAAATAACTTTGCAGCTCGCTGTGAATTTTGATTCCTGTAATAGCATTTCAGGGGAACCAGCAGGAATGAGCCTCTGCTTAGACCCTGTCTGTGTGCAGTGGCTGAGGGCAAGGCAGAAATAATGTGTGTCCAGCCACCACAGCATGTGTCCAGCCTTGAGAAGATGTGCCCAGCCATGACAGTGTGTGCCCAGCTGCACAGCTTTTCCCATCCCCATAGCAAGAGGGGATGAGGGAGCAGCCAGCCCTGGCTGGGGTGGGCTGGAGCCCATCCTACACCTCCTGCTCCAGCCCATCCGCTCCCCTTAGAGCTCCTCCACCCCTCCCAGCAAAGCCCAAAGCCTGTATATGTCTAGTTGCAAGTTAATCATATCAAAGATCATTTGGGGAAGGGGAAGAAAACAGGTTGTGTTTTTTTTCTTGAGCTCTACCCTCCCTTCTGTGATCTGCTTGGAGCAGATAGCATTTGTCATCATCAATCATATTTTCTTCTTTGGTGTCTTCACGTGAACATGATGTCTAGTGACAGGTCTTGTTGTTAGTGAAAAGCTTCACTTTCTTTTAAATAATTAAGGTTTTTTTGGGGCTACCCATCAGAAATTGGTAGAATATCTAGAAAGTTGCAAAATACCCTAAAAACATATAGTTTGTTCCTCTGGGGAGTCCCTTGGTGTTCTCCAGGATGGTGCAGGGAGGTGACCTCCCATGGAGGAGGCACTTGCAGGAGCCCATCAGAGCACAAAGTTGTGTCAAAGGTGCCTTGGGCTCTTCTGGCTTTGTGTGCAGATGGACATGGTCACTGTGTGGATGGGGTGGACACAGGCAGGGAAGTGGGCTGGCTCTGGCTCTGCCTCCTATTCTCTGGCATCCTCATCCTCTGGGTTTCTGCGAGGGATCTGAGGGTAACTGGGCTTTTAACATGTAGATTGAGCTGTAGCTCAGTTGATTGCCTGATTGTGAATTCATCTGCATGTGCATCCTGGTCTTTAAAGGAAAAGCTGATGAAAGGGGCAGGAACACAGACTCAGTAGGGAAGAAGCTTTTAGAGGGAAAAAATTGTTTGGAAAATAGCAAAGAGAGAGGAGGGGAAAGAATTCTGCTGGGAAAGGAGCATAACTGCATTACTTCCTTGGAGGTCTGGGAAATACATTATGCAGAGCTCCAAACAATGTTTGCCAGCAGCAAGTCAGCTTAGATGTGTCCATGGGGGGTTCCTTGTAGGTTTTTTTCTGTTCTTTTTTTTCTTTAATAGCCAAAATCTTTCTTTCCTGGGGCCCAGGGTGATCTGTGACTCTTGAGTTTGTGCTAGGACCTTGTTTGTCCATGTGCTAATGATGTGCTCTGGGCTATGTGTCTCATTAGTGTGCAGGGACAAGGTCTACCTGGCACAGTCCAGCCTGATCCCTGGGAGAGGAGTGGGTTTGACCAGGGAAGAGTTCATTGGGTCACCAGCACTGGCTGTTCTGGAGCAGCCTTGAGCTGCTGTTTTCAGATCAGCGTGAGCTGAGTGGGTCTCTCCTGGACATCCCTCCCTTGGCACTGGAGCCAAGCACGGGTGACCCCATGGGATGGGAATGCTGCCTGGTGACTGCTGAGGAGCACGATCAGTTCATTCCCTTCTGCATTCCTGTGGCTCTTGCTGGGTTTGCAGTGGTCTGTGAGCCTTTTGTAGGGCCTGAGAAGACTGTGATGGAGTTTGATGGGGTTTGCTTGAGTGTGTTGGCAGTAGGTGCTCTCTTGGCCATGTTCTCCCTGAGTGCTCCACTCTGTTTCCCCCCAGAGGGCTCCTGCTGGATGCCTGCTTGCACCCGAGCCTTTTAAATCACCGTCCCATTTGTTTTGGTTTCTTCCCTGTTGCCATAGGTTGAGGTCTCATTCTTGGTCCCAACTCTGCCACTGATGCCCATGGCTCCTCCAAAAGGTGACTTCACCTCTCTTTGCCCCAAAGATGAATTGGGCTCATGTCCTGCTGGCACATGCCAGCTCTGGAGGTCTTGGGGATGTATGAGTGACAGAAGTGCCCCTTTGCTTCTGGGACTCTGACATTGACCCTCCTGCCCCTTCAATGTGCTTTCAGTGAGGGCTCATTTCAAACAGGCTCCTACCCCAAAGGTGTTCCTGGACCCTGGGACCTCCAGGTTTCCTTTTTCAAGGCAACATCTGCTCCACTGTCCTGCATGTGTGTATGTGTGTCCCCATCACCTCCAGAGCCACTGAGGGGTTCCTGCAGCTATTGAAGGTGTCCCAAGAAGGGCTTTCCTCTAGCTTGTTTGGGAATCCCCAGCAGTAAAAACACCTGGATGTGGAGAAGTGTGGCACCAGAGACCGTGTCAGTGTTGTCAGCAGGAGCGTTCAGCAGAGAGGGATTTCCCAAGGCACTAATCACTGGGGTTATGCAGTCTTTTCAGTTTTCCTCTGCAGAGACTTTTGTTGTAGAGATTTTCTGACATTTTTGCCCTCTGGAACAAGCAGTATCTCTTCTTTGCTCCCTGAGGCCCTGGAGAATTCACAGAGATTTTTTTAATCCCAGCTGATGATGTGAGATGCTGTCCTGGCTCATGCACAGCAGTGGACTGGTGCTCAGCACAGGGGGGGTGTGAGCAGGAATAGTCACCTGTGGCCATTTTCGTGTTGTACTGTCCCTGGATGGTTGGTGACAGCTTGGATAGAGGTGGAGGAGGTTTTGATTTGTACATGGCAGTGGGCTGGCCCTGCAGCCAGCATTGCCCGTGCTCTCATCCCGGCTTCACCAAGGACGTGTGTAGCTTTGGGCAAGTTCCCGCAGTCCTCTGTGGCTGAGCAGCCCTGCAGAGATAAAAGCCCTCTGCCACTTCACGGGCCTTTGTGAAGGTTCACAGGCGATAGCAGGTGCTTTGAAAGGGAAATGTTTTAAGTGCTTGCAAACGATCTCCGTGCTTTTAAGAAAATGTCTTTATTTGTCCTATCTGAAAGGAAATGATTCCCCCTCTGTCTCTGATCTTTGAATGCTCCTCTCTGCCAGGGGATCGCAGCACCCCCCACCTCGCTGAGGGTGTTCGAATCCCCTTTTTTTTTATTTCTGCTGTGTTTTCCAGGCTCCGACCGTTGGACATCGAGTTCATGAAGCGCCTGAGCAAAGTGGTCAACATCGTCCCGGTGATCGCAAAAGCTGACACGTTAACGCTGGAGGAGAGGGACTACTTCAAACAGCGGGTAAGGGGTCGGTGGCTCTTATCTCCGGGCTCCCATCTCTCGTCCCCCGTCCCCTCCTGCCCCTCTCCCCCTCCTGGCTCCCCCGGCAGGGCTGGGCAGGCGAGCTCCTGGCCGGGAGCCCAGCGCATTCCTCGGGCTGCAGCTCCGAGCGATCCCACGTGGCCGGAGGAAAGGCCTGCGCTCCAAGAGGTTCCTTGTGTTTCTCTTGGATCTTTGTCAGTGTAGGATAAGTGTGGAGCTCTACGTCTCCAGGCCTGCTTCTCCTGCCTCCTGTGTTATTGTTGTTGTTATTTTCAGGATGGTTTCTGTTATTTTGGGAGTAAAAACATCCCTGTGCAGCATCGTGCACTGATACAGGGACCAGGCAAAAAAATGTGTGGGTTTGCTGAGCTCAGCTGGGCAAGATTTAAGAGGGAAGCAAGGTATGAAATTCCTTTGGTCAGGGGCTGGTGGTGGGAGCCAAGGAGAGGCTGTTCAAATCCGCAGCAAGGCATGAGCTTTGCTCCATGTACCCCTGAGGCTTCCCAGAGGTGGAAATACCCCATTTTGGGGTTTGGTAAGGGACTGTAAATCCGTTTGTGTAGCTGATGGATGTGGCTGCAGGTGTGATGGCCTCAGCATTCCCTGCAGAAGTAAGCAAACCACCAAGCTCCTTGGTCCATGAGTCTGAACTGCAGGGAAGTGAAGGGAAATGGGTCTTGCCAAAAAGGCAGTTTTAGAGTCCATTAGTTATAGAGAGGACAACACCTTAGCCAGGCATTGTTCCATGCCTCTGTGCAGAAGGGAATGAGCCACTCCTTCCCACACCAGTGTCTCCCCAGTTCTTGGTGAGCAGGATCAGGCACTGAAATATTCAGTCTGGTTTTGGGAGCTCAATCCAAACTTCAAACTCTGCAAGCAGTTTCCTTGGCTAGAGGATAGCTGGAAATGGAGTTGAAGGGTAATCCAGGGTGGGCTCAATTGGCATGTCAGCCTGTTTGCATGGGGTCTGTGAGGAGCTGGTGTGGGAACACAGGGGGCTGAGTCCACAGTGCCACATCTGCTCTCTGTGGTGGCTCTTGCAGACTGAAGGCTCCGTTCAGAGGTTACCAGTGCACATATCCACGTCTCTGTGGGTGACTCTGGGACTACAAAGTCAGTCAGTCTTGGACTTAAAATGTCATCTGGATGCTCTGGGCTGCTGCTGCCATCCCTGTGTAGTGAAACACCGTGGGTAGGGAGCACACAGCTCGCCTGCTCTGCACCAGCTCGGCGCAGGACGAGCTTGCCCCATCTCTGATTACATTCCTGATTATAACCAGACCCCCCAAATCCTTCCAGATGGAGGGAGAACACGTAGCCACGTGGTCTGTTGGCTCACTCTCCTCATGCTCCTGGCTGCAGATTCACTGGTGGAGACAAGAGGGCAGGAAATCAGGCTGGGTGGGCACAGACTGGGACCTTTTCCCTTCACTCCAGTGTGCCTGTGTCTGTGCTTCCAAAAAGCAGAGCCCTGTCTGCATCTGGGGGTGTAGCTGGTTCAGAGAGCTATTTTGGGTTCAGTTTAGGGTCAGTAGGGGATGGTGAAGCACCAGCCTGGCTGCAGGTTGATGCCAGTGCTGCACTGAATGAGAGACTCTGGTGCCTTGTGGAGTTGGCTTTGTTGGGTCATTCCCCTAAACACAGTGTGTGGATTTGGATGGGGGATTTCCCTGGGCTGGATCTACTTCCTTTCCCAGCCTGCAATGTAGGACTGATGTGGAGGAGTTTATAGCCATAGGAAGCAATGGGAGTGGGTGCAGAGGCTGACTTGGAGTTTGCAGTGTTGTAGGAGAAGGCTAATCCTCTGAGCTCCCCATGAGCTGAGCCTCCACCCAGGAATCAGATTTCAACATTTCTTTGCTTTGCACAGAGGCAAAGTCCTTAGAGGCCACTCTTCTAAGCTGTGTCCTTGTCCCCTTGGATCAAGCTCCTTTTCCAAGGAGCATAAACAAACACCAGAAATCAGCTTTTCAACTTTGGGTTACAAGCCTGGCAGCTGCATTCCCCATTGCTCGGGCAGCTTGTAATGTCATGTTGTCTTTTTCAATCCCAAAACAACGCCCAGCTCATATAACTTCATCTCACTCTCAGCCTGAGTTATGTCTTGGCACCAGGTTCTTGCAGAGGTTCCAGGGTGAGCACTTTGTGGGTGTGTGGCAGGTAAACACGGGTGTCTCTCCCCCAGGTGGGCAATGTTTAGGATGGAAAGGGAAGAGCTGCTGCTGGACTTTGCTGTGACTGGTGGGCTTTGCTCAGAGAGCCTCTCGGGTGGGCTGTGAGCAGCTGCTGTGCTGGGAGTGCAGCTCCTCTGCCTGCATCTCCTTCACATGTTCCTCTGCTCTTCCCTCCTAGATAATGGCTGATCTTCTGGCCAACGGGATCGATGTGTATCCTCAGAAGGAGTTTGATGAAGACTCTGAAGATCGGCTCGTGAACGAGAAATTCCGGGTTAGTGCAGGAGGCTGGGCTTGGATGGGCCCTGCAGCTCCGGGGGCTGGTGATGTCCTGGGGGACTCCCTTCCAAAGGGCGTTTTCTTTCCAAGGCTGCTGTGCCCTGTCCACGGGGTCTGGCCAGGACCAAGGATCCTTCCAGAGCTCAGAGCAGGGACAGAAAGAGGGTGACAAAGGCTCCTGGAGAAGATGTCCTCTTCTGTCCATACTCCTTTCCCCATCTCCATTCCTCCAAGGAATTCCTCAGTAGTCTGCAAGCAGGGAGGTGCCTGCCCATCCCTGGCTAGGGCAGCAGCCTTCCCAGCATCAGGAGGGAATTTCCCCCTAGGCTGCCCTGCTCTGTGGCTGTCAATTCCAGGCCACAGGAAATAGCTGGGAATTTTTTGGCTAATAAAGTGGATTGGACAAATTTAAGCAAGAAAAAAATCTTCAAGGGGCTCTTAAATTCAAGGATACCACCTTGGATCCAGAAATGACTGACCAGAAATCTGGCCACGGGTTGCCAGATGCTGGGGGCAATTCCCAGGGAAGCATCATGATACCTTTGCTCTGGTTGTATGTTGGCATCTGCCAGTGAGGGGCTGGTCTAGACTGGTTTTGGACTGGGTTTAGACTGGTTTTGGACTGGGCACTTGCACAAGAGATACTGCTGCCCAGGTCCTGGGCTGCCTGTGGACCTTGGCAGGCAACACTGCTCAGGAATATCAGGGACAGACCAGCTCATCCCATGAAACTCTCCTGAAAACAGCTTGATGTAGGACTTTGCTCACAAGTTTGGTTTCCTGACCAGTTTTCAGGAGGAAAACATGACCTTGTTCTTTCCTTTGAACAGGAAATGATCCCATTTGCAGTGGTGGGCAGTGACCAGGAATACCAGGTTAATGGAAGAAGAATCCTTGGAAGAAAGACCAAGTGGGGCACCATTGAAGGTACTTTGTTCTTGATTTCCTACCCCCAGAGCCCATCTCCCTGCCCTGACAGGAGGCAATGAGGTCCAAAACCAGCAGTAGAAGTTGAAGTGTATTTAGTGCTTCCCTGCCCCTCCAAAGAAGATAAATTCCCTGGTGTTTGAGGACTGGAAACACCTTGGCCAGTGTGGCCTTTGTGTGGCTCAAGGGGCTGCTGAATGCTGGAGGGGACACTTCTGGTGGTCTTATGGCCTGGCTTGTGCTTTTTACACAGTTAAACAGTTTTACACAGTTAAATCCTACCTGATAGCAAGATTTTAGGGCACACAAGCTCCTGTTAGAGCCTTCCCCTGGCATCTGTACCCTCCACCGTGCATTTGGTTGGTGCCCTTGTGGGATCTCTTCCCTCTTCCATTTCCCATAGGCATCTTCCTTTTTTCTCCCCCGTTTTACAATGATGGTTTAAAGGCTAGATGAAAGCTCCTGGCTCCAGCACATCTACACATTTCCTTGTCCTTGGTTTCTGGCAGCCAGCTGGCACATCTCCAGTGCCACCCCTCTCATCTTCCTCCCCTTCATTTCACATTCGTTTGGCTCCCCTCATTTATGAGTCTTTTTTATAGGAATCCTGTGTTGAGGGATGGTTTAACAAAGCTGCCAGGAAAATCAGTGTATTTTAAAGCTCTGCTGCCCTCTTGTGCTGTGTCTCTGGAAGTTCTGGGTTTAATGGGATTCATTAAACCCCTCACCTTCTGCTTGTGGCATCTCCCTTCAGCACAGGGAGACCTCAAGGACACGACCATTGCCATGGGCAGCCTTTGCAGAACACTGTTATTTGTTTTTTTGCCACTCCTGATGATGTTTAGTGGTTGGACTCAGTGATTTTTAAAGGTCATTTCCAACTCAAAGGATTCTGTGTTTCTATGTACAAGCCTGTTTTGGTTAAAAAAAAAAATTGAAAATGGAATTCATCCTCTAAATTGAGTAAATTTAGGGGTAAAATATGAGCTGTTAGACTAATTGTGGTGGAGTAACACCCCTTGATTTTTCCCTCTTGCAAACACCTCTCTTGCTCCAAGCCCTGTTCTGACAGCAACAGCCTTTGTCACCAAGAGATTGTGTCCTTCCACAACACCAGCAGCCCAGACAGCTGCCACCAGCGTGCCCAGAATGCTGCAGGGTGCTCATGGCCAAGCTACAGATTAAGCACTTCTGTGGAGACAGGCCTGGTGCTCACTGCAAAGCTCACCCTGCCCCTTCCCCTGCCTTGTTTGGGGCCCAAGGGGGTCCCAAAGGACATTGCTTTGGGAGATGCTGCTGGAACAACAGATCTTGTTGAAACAGAGTGGGAAGGGACTATGGATGCTCAGTCAGACCTCACCAGCCAGTTGGTCATGCTGAGCTGGGGCAGGTACCTGGTACCAGCTTCACAGCAGCAAAGGGGACTCCTGGGTCCTGCATCCTGTAGCCCCAGGGGGTAAGACCCTGTCTGAGCCCTCCAGATGCTGGTGAAGCCCCCCAGGGTCCTGCTTACCCTGAGGGATTGCTGTCCCCATGCCATGGGTGCACACTGATGGGTTTCTCTCCCTTCTTGCCAGTGGAGAACACGACACACTGTGAGTTCGCCTACCTGCGGGACCTCCTCATCAGGTCAGTAGGACTCTGCCTTCCCCCAGTAGTCTTCAGTCACCAGGTGGCATCCAAAGAAAGGGGAGAGCCCAGCCCAGCTTGAAGCAGCTACTTTACTCCTCCATCCATCCCTTCCTCCATCCCCTCCCCACCTGCTGCCACACTGCAGCCCCTCTGCAAGGGGTGGTCCCCCTGAGTGGGACTCCAGGGGGCTTTTCTCAGCTACAGTGCTGAGTTAAAGGAGGAGAGGAGCAGTGGATGGGTTGGGACACTCCAGGTTTGCTGGCAGTGTGCAGTGTGGCTCCAGCATGCTTGCCAAGCAGCTTTTGGCCTTAGTGATCCCTCACCAGTCCCAAGTCCTACCCCCAGTCCAAAGACATCACCCTCCATCGGGGTGTCATTGCAGGGTCTGGGTGATGGCTGCTCCCCCTTCAAAGAGGTGTCCCTGCTGCAGGGGAGGGGGAGGCTGAGCTCCCTTGGCTTGCTAGAGGGGTTATTGAGCTCCTCCTAAATTTGGCTCTTAAACTCTGCACACCTGAGCTGTTGCTGACAGGTAGTGGGGTGGGACTACAAAACCTGATCCCAGGACTTGCAGGACTGGGATCTCCCCAGATGGGTGTTCTGCAGCCAGAACTCCTACATCCCCAAGCACCAGTGAAGGTTTCTGGCCCTGGCTGCCCCTTCTTGCCTTTACTTCCCTAAAGACACCATTAACCAGTAAAGCAGGATGGGACATTGGGGCTGGGGGGGTGTTTGGAGCAGTATTTGGGGTGTGCAGGGGTTGGGGTGCGGAGGCGAAGGCTGGGCAGCTGAGCTGCTCCCAGCAAGACGCGACTGCTCCCCTTTCCCTTTCCTGCAGGACGCACATGCAGAACATCAAGGATATTACCAGCAACATCCACTTCGAAGCCTACAGGGTCAAGAGGCTGAACGAGGGCCAGGGCTCGCTCTCCAACGGCGTGACCGACAAAGAGCTGGTGGCTAACGAAATGTAACCGTCTCGCTCCGTAGCCAGGACCTTGCTCGCTCACGCTCGCTATTTCTCCCCTCTCCCCCCTTTATTTTTATATAAATCCTCTGCCACTGTCCCCCTTCCCCCGGTCCCTGACCCCCTGCCATGTTAACTGACCAAATAACCAGGCGCGGAGCGGGGCGGCCGCTCACCCCCCGCTTTGTGGCATGAATTTGCTTCTCGGCCCCCGGTCCAGCATTCCTGGGCTGGGACTGTCCCTCCGTGGAGGTCGAGCTCTCGCTTGCCCCCAGCTCTGGCCCGGCAGCCGAACCCAGGGGAGCAGATCCACGGGGCCAGCAGGATTGGGGTGCCCCCAGGAGCCCTGCCTGCCCCTCCGTGCAGAGGCTCCTCTCCGTCCGTTGAAGGCAAAAGGGTTTCTCCAGGTGAATGTAGCCTTCGGAAGCAAGGTACGGGTGGGATGAAGAGAGCAAGACAGTGCCATCCTTGTCTCCTGCCGCCTCCTCCGAGCCCTCTGCAGCCCTCCAGGACCTGCCAGCCCCCAACCCAACCCTTGTACCCCATCTACATGCAATAAACTGGGAGTGTTTAGGTGTCACCTTGCCTGTCACCGACCCCCTGCCAGGCAGAGCGACCTGCTTTGGGAGAAGTGCCTTTTCAGACTGTGACCTTGCAATAGTGTGGGAGAGGGGAAGGAGGGTCTGCCTTGTCTGTGCAGCCTGTAAAAGGCTGCAGACCTTTGTAGGGACTCCTGTTCCCTCTCCCTTGGACCACAGATGTAGCTGATGTCCTGAGAACACTTGTGTATTTATTTTTCATTCAGTTGGGTGGGATTTTTGTGTGCTGAAGGCTGGGAGTGTCTTTGTCCAAAGGGGGCTGAGAGTGGAACGTCTCCACAAAGCGGTGGTGGGAGGTGGAGGGTTGTCCTGTCTTACCCTTGTGATTCTTGGGCTTTTCCCTATGTCAGAGGAGGCTGTTGGGCATTTTTCAATCGTTTTTTATTTTCTGGTTCCCCTGTGTGACATGTGTCTGTGTAACACACTCCTGTGTTTTGCTGGTCCTTGTGCAGGGGGTCTGTGCATGTGCAGACCGAGCCCTGCCGCCCTGGGGAGGGCTGAGGTTGTGTTTGTGGGTGCTGTGCCCAACATCTCCCCCTGCTCTGCCCCCCAGCACCTCCTCTTTCAGTGTATCTCCAGTAAATAAGTCCCTGCAAGGGTGAGGTAGCACCGTGACACAGGAGAGGATGGTCCTGGAGCAGAGCTCTGCAGTCTTTACCCTCGCCCCAGCTCCGCTTCCCTTTCTGTTCTCCACTCCACCAGTCTCCATATCCTCTCTAAGGGATAAAACTTTCTGCAAATCACCCATTTTTGGGGGGGCACACACTAAAATGGCAGCGTGTCCCATCCTCTAGCACTGGAAGGCGCGTGCAAAGCCCTATGGTCTCCATGGGGGACAGAGCCTTCCTCAGCACAGGTGACCAGGAGGAAGGAGGAGGTTGTTCTCACCTCGGTGGGGATGCCCAGATGACATTGGACAGGGTTTGCAGGGGCTCCCCACACATGTCCTCCCAAAGAGGCGTGGGCAGGGGGGTGCATTGTGAGAATCCATTCTGCCCTTCACTCGTATTCCTCCCCCGCCACAACAGCACCACGGAGCTGTTGGGGTACAGCAACTCTCTACTTGCTGACTTGCTATATTTTAGCAAAACCAACAAAAAAAAAAGTGTATTAACTGAAAAAAAAATATATCTATATTTCAAGTGTTAAAAAAGACTGAAAGGGGAGAAAAATCTCTTTGTGTGAGGCACTTCTGCAAATGTCATCTTAAACTTTTTTTTCCTCTAGTTGAAGCTGGGCAAAGCAAGACACGCTGCTTTCTCCTTTGTAACCTGACTTTTTTTTTTTTGAAGAAAAAAAAATAATACAATAAAAAAACCCTTCATCCAGATCTATTAAAATGGCCTTTTGGGGGTTATAAGCATTACGAAAATTTAGTCCATTTTTGTATAAATAATAGTGTTTAATATGTATTTCCCAAAATAAATGTTTCGAATGCAAATAGAAGGAGGTTTGTTTGGAAATGTCTGTTCCCAGCCACGGTGTGATGGTTGTTGTATGGACCCTGTGGGGCTGGGAGTGATGGGAGAGTCAAGCCCCAGAGCTGCTGTCCTCTGCCCTCTTTGGGGTGAAGGTTAGTTATTCCTAACCCCCTTTACTCTTCCCACCTTGGATACCTGCCCCGGGTACTCTAAAACACACTGGATCTGCTGGTGCTGAGCGCCCTGGGGATGAAACCAGCATGATCCTGAGGGAGGCAGGTGGATCCCTTCCCTCTGCTCCCACAGGAAGCTGTTTCCACTGTGGCTGCTGGTATTTTTATGAAGAAGTGGGTTGCATCTAGTTCAAGGGCAGGCAGCAGTTTGTCTTTCACACAGATGTGGCTTTGGCTCCGCAGGCAGATGGTCTTCAAAACCCTTCGTGACTGCAGGGTTGGTTTTGGGATGCCCTTGGAAGTTGGCTTCACTTGGAGGGCTCCCCTTCCTTAAAATCATGTTTCTCTCTGGTGTTGCAGACAAGACACTGTCCATTCTGGTGGTTTAATCTGCATCTGACATGTTTATTGTATTTTTCCCCCCAAGTAGTTGAACTCAGAAGCCACCCGGGCGTGGTCCTGAGGGACCAGCTCAAAGTGGCCCTGCTTGAGCAGGGGCTGGAGCGAGTGACCTCCAGAGGTCCTTTCCAACCTCAGCCCCTCCGGGATTCTGCGATACTGGAACTGGATGAGAACAGACTCAAGAGGACAGCACTCAGGTTGGGTTCCTGTGAGGGTGTAGAGCACAGGACGGGCTTACGTACATTTTTCCTCTGCTTTTTTGCTCTCACCTGGGTTTTGGTGCAGTGAATTGTCTTGTCTCACATGGAATCCAGTGAGATGTGTGGTGAAGGTTGCTGATGGGCCCCACTTTGTCCCAGTGCTAAACCCATCCCTAGCAGTACTCTTTTATTTTTGTGCTGCACAGCAGTTCCATGGTTGCTTCAGCTGAAACTCCCCCCACTCTCGTGGCTTGTTGCCAAATAACTCCATGGGGGAGAAAGCAGCGAGATCAAGGTGTTCTCGCTGTTGTAACCAGAGCAAGAGCCAGAAAAAAAGCTCTTGGGAGGGGAAATCAAAATGTAGTTGTAGTAATTACACACATGGACCATGGGCCTTTCTCCTGGATGAATCCAGAGCAGCTTTTCCCTGTATTGTGGTTTTTCTTGTGCTGGGATCTTGGGTTTTTTTGCAGCTTTCCTCAATGCCACCATCTGAGCATGTGCTCGTAGAGGGAGATGGGACAGAGGATGCTCCGGGGCTCCCCAGGCAGATGCTGACATCTGAGTGTGTCCATGGAGGAAGATGAAGCAGAGGATGCTCCGGGGCTCCCCAGGCAGATGCTCTCCTGATGATGGATTGAGAAACAGTTTGTGGCTGGAGCAAGGGGAAGGCAGGCAAAATTCCCCAGCTCAGCAATAAGGGCAGCTTTTGTTTAGCCCAGAGGAGGGGCTCAGTGGGTCGGAGGTCCCTTCATGGGAATGGTGCAGGGAATGGTTTCCAGATGTTGGGAAGCTCCGGAGAGGTGGGGTTGGTGAAGAGAGAGCAACAACAGCAGATGTTCTGATGGAACAGGGGTTTGTGTGGTGCTGTGGGAAAAATCCCAGCTGGGGGAAGGGTTTGCCGTTACAAAATTCCCCCTCACTCCCTAGAGCCTTGGCCACAGGGCAGGAGTGACCCAGGAGGGGTGGATGGGGAGGATTTGGGCAGAGGAGGAGGGAGGCAAGGGGCTGCTCCCTCTGCCTGCACCCTCCCCAGCTGTCTCCAAGGGGAATGTGCCTAACGATGCCGTAGCTGACAGAAAGGACCTTGCACTAATGGCTTATTGAGTGGCCTCACTTTAACAAATGAGGGAAATGAAGATGAGTGAGAGTTTAATTACCGATCCGAGCAGGGCTTTCCGCAGCAGCGATGGGCTCTCACTCCCCTCTGCCTGGCTCTGGGAGGGAGAGGGGGACCCCCCAGGCTCTCGGGGTGCCTGGCAGCTCTGGAGATGGCTGCTTGGCCAGGGTGGGCTGGAGGTGGGTCACGTTCCAAAGAGCATCCCCACTCAAAGGGGATGACTATAAATAATAAGAATAAAAGGGAGTATAAATAATTAAAGCAGCTCATAGTGAGTAGTTCCCGAAACGTCTGCCTGATTTAAAAACTAATTACTTGGAGGGTAATCACCACCAGAAGTGCACATATTTACCCACAATGCTGCTCTTTCCTCCTCTTCCTTTCACTCGCCCTCTCCTGATTGCTATCCCAGGCATCGGCGCCCAGACTTATCCCTCATCCACAGTGCACAATAAAGTGTGTTGTACTCGTCCATCTCCCTGATTAATAACGTCATTGGAGACCTGTTCAGGGAGGAATAAATCCTCTCTGGGTAGGAGGCCAGGTGCTGGCAGGAGGGGAAGCTGAGGCTGTGTGGTACCTGCAGAGCCCAAGCCCTCAGAGCTGGGAGCCCTCTCTGCCCCAAAGGGCCACCCCCTGCTCCAGAGATGGTCCCTTTGGATGAGCCTGTGCTGCCCAGAACACGGGGCACCACCGAGTCACCACAAGCCTAGGGTACCCCAGGGGGGTGTGTTATCACCTGCTCAGTATGAGCTGCTGTTAAGGGACTTTCCTGGGCCATCACTCTCACACACCAGCCCAGAGTGCCCATCAAAACCTGAATCCGGTGCTGTGGGACCTGTCCCCATGGGAAACATCTCCCTTTGATGTGCAAACTGGGCTGCAGCAGGCACAGGCAGAGCTGGTGATCTCAAGCTTTAATTACTGAGAAGCTGCTGCACTGCAGTTGAAAGCCTGGGGTTTTTTGATCATCTTTGCTGCAGCTCCTGCAGAAAGGAGGATTTGTCTCTCCACCTCCACCCCTGTGCCAACTCCTCACGCCACCTCTATCACACAGGGTGCTGATCCAAACCCACCTGCTCCTTCTCAAAACCCTAGCAAAATCTTTTCTTGCCCACAGCAAGTCTAAGTTTGTAATTCTTTGCTGCAGTCTAGTTTGTATTTATTTGCCTGAGCTTGTGTCTGGTCCTGTACAAATTAATAAATAACTCTCACCATCAGCCTGATTTAGGAGCAGCATTGCACTGTGCTGCTTCATTTAGGAAAACAGAATAATTTATTCCTAACTTATGGGATTCAGGAGACTTCCACCCACAGCCCACGATATTTTCTCATTAACATTACCCAGCTAAGCTAAAAACTGCAATTTCATAAGTCATGCTTCCTTCAAAGGCACATTACCAGCTTCCCAGGGGCTCCAAAAGTTTACTGAAGCTTAAAGACATACCTCATAGCATGCAGTAATGTACCAAAGTCCCTTTTCTTAATACTACTGAAACCATCTTTCCTGGAAGTTTCCCTTCCCTGAACTCTTCCCATCAGGAATAACCTGCAAGGATGGCACCACATGCCTGGGGGTTGGCAGTAATGGGCTTGAGCGTCCCAACCAAGCTCTTACAAACAGCAGCACAACACAACATCATCATCACAACCTGCACTAATGACTCAATACACCAAGCCAGGCCCCCTTAGTGGGGTTCCCAGCACCAAAACTTGTTGTAGACACGTGTGTGCAGCACAATGGAGGTTTAAGTGAGTGATGCTGGGCAAGAGAATAGCATTGAGTCATTCTTTAACAAGAAGGTAAAAAGAAGAAAATATTCAGCTGGAAAACAAAATAAAAATCCTTTATCCTCTGCTCCAGGGCATATCTGGAAATGACATAAGCCAAAACATTTCAGGTTTTGTAGTTTTATTTAGTGTTGGCAATTACCCACAGTGAGAGTGTGGGATGGAGGGCTGATATACAGGGAAATGGATGACTCTGTGTGAGCTCCTTGTCACAAAGGACCATCAGAATCCAGGGCTTAGCAGTTATTTTAATCTGTGCACCATTTTTACAGCAGGCCTGTTGGCTTTTTTTTTTTTTTTAGGCAAGTCACAGCTGAACATGTTTGCTGGCAAACTTTACAGACCCCATTTTTTTAAAACTACAAATTTTCACCTCTGAAGGACCATGTCCTGAAATAGCTTTGCAGAGGACAAAGACAGGGAAGCAGGAAGAACCTTAGTCCCTTCTGTACATCCCCACCGTCTTACACTGCATTAGCCCAAGGCTTACACTGTGTGAGAGCAGAGGAGTGCTCAGTGAGCCTTGCCACCAGCATTCCCCCTTCCCTGCCCTTCTCCTCTCCTGCCACCAGCCTCAGAAGAAAGTCAAGATTAAAATCATATTCCTAGAGCAAAATTACACATTGGAGACTCCCCGGCCCCCCCGGGAGGATCAGGGCATTCCTCTATAAATATCCGTCTCGATATGTTTAATTTGCAGATGAAATTAAGCCTGGGAAGAAAGGGAAGGATGTCTTTTCATGTGTGGGCTGTCCGGCTTTGCCTTGAATATCAAAGTGAGACGTGTTACAAAGCACTGACTCTCTGGGATTATCTAAGAAACCTTGTAGGTCCCAAGTGACGGCAGTTTCGGGATCAAAAGGTGTGGTGCTTATGCAGAAAGCCAGAAAAAGCCAGCGTGGTTCTCAGATCAGCCCCAAAGAGCCAGATCTCAGGTCAGTTTGCAGAGTTCAGAGATTTCCAAGGAAACAAGGAGGCAGGTGAGGAACCAGGAGAGGTTGGGCTTTCCCGTGGACTTTGGATTAAATATTAACTCACTGCAGTGGGTTAGGAGGATAAATATTTTCATTAATCATGTATGTGCTCATTATGATGGTGAGAATAGACCATTCAAGCTTCATCTGCATGAGCTTTTCAACTCCTACCTCTCCTTTTCTGCTCGTAGCTTTTGTTAAAACACCATTTTTATGCTTTGTCTATTCGCAAAACTTTTTTCCCACAAACAGTTTCATTGCTTTCAGCATTTTATTGGTTAGGCTTTGAAAGCACCAGCTGAAAAGACTTAGCATGAGGATAAACAGAGAGGAGAAAAAGCATCTCTAGTTCAAACAAGG